CCGTTATGACAGAATGCGTCAGGAATTTGAACTTCAGGTTCTATCTCTCTCTCCCTCCCTCTCTCTCTCTCTCTAAGTTTGGTTAACTTCATGCTGGAGTTAAATCAACCTTTAAAATTCAAAAACTCCCAATTAGGCAGCTGAAGTCATAAGACGGCGGTCGAAGTCCAGAGACACTTCTGCTGAAAGTGCTTTGAAGCTCAAAAGTGCCGAGAAAAAGTTGACAGAGCTCAAGTCTTCAATGCTGACGCTTGGAAAAGAAGCTATTGATGCTATGTTGTCTGTGGAGGCTCAGCAACAGGAAATAACTTTCCAGAAGATTCTTACCATGGTAACATATGCTTCGTGAAGTTTTATATACTTGGTTTCCTAATTATAATATGTATGTTTATAAAACTGAGATGCGTGAGCGCTCGAGAAGAAAGTAAAATCAAAGGAAGTTTTTCTGTGGAACATTTTTAATTTGCACTAGTCATATAAAGTTTGTTTTGAAATTCTTGGCTCTCAGGTCGATGCTGAGAGATCTTATCATCAAAATGTTATTGCTATTCTGGAGAAGCTGCATTCAGAGGTCTCTAATATGTCAACTTTATATTACATCATTTCAATTTATATATGTGTATATATATATCATATATAATTCTGTTTGTGTGTTTCTGTACTCATGTTGATTGCAGATATACTTGGTGAGCAAGTATTTCTTCCAGAGTGAATATATTGTCTTTATTATTAATATTAATAGTTAAAATTATTTAATTGTTATTATATGTTTTTGAATCTAATACAATAAGTCACCATCATTGTGGTTTTTTTTCTTCGCTAAAAACATCAATGCTTGGTGTTAGATGATTCTTGAGGAGCAAATGGAAGACCCTATCTTGCAGCCCGAAACTCCACCGAGAGGTGAAAGTATTCCATCTCATTCTCATGAGTCAGTTTCCAATAGATCTAATGTTGAGGATGGTGAAAATAAAAGCGACAGCTACTTTATTGCCAAGGTAAATTCCTTTTCTTACTGCTTTTAGTTCTAGTTCAACATCTGTTTGCTCGTGAACCCTCATCCAACAAACTAAACTATTTTCTTTTCTTTCATTTTCCATCTTATTTTTCGACCTTGTGTTTTTAGTTTTACATATTTGTTGTTAGGTTATACATCCATTTGATGCTCAAGCAGATGGTGAGCTGAGTCTTGAAGTCGATGATTATGTCGTCGTTCGACAGGTAAGAAAATATCTTGTTTTTTAATATATAATCTTTTCTTTTGCTGGGTGATGCCGTTCTTCACTTCACTGATAATTATTTTGTAGTTTCTTCACCTGTCATGAAAAAAATGCTAAAACATAATTTTGCTTTTGAACAGCTTATGACTTAGTATTATTATGACTATTAAAAGGCAAAGTTGATGTCTATAGGTGTCTACAAATGGGTGGTCTGAAGGAGAATGCAAAGGCAAAGCCGGTTGGTTTCCATCGGCTTATGTAGAAAGAACAGTTAACGTCCCAACAAGCAAATTAGCCCGACACAATTCTTCACCATAACTAAAGATGGCAACCTTGTTTTGGTGAGTACTGTTGTACATTAACATATACAGCACGTGATTTGTATCTATTGGGGGTGTGTTTGTGTTTTACGGCAATGTCCAAAATAAAGTTTTCCATACTGAATGTAGAATTTATTCCATTTTGTCAATATTATTGTATATTATCTCAGTAAATGATTAATTGATGAGGGTACATGTTATTTTGAGGAGTCATTTGCATGGATAAAATGTAAGAAAGAAGAAAAAGACAGAGAATCTAGAAAATGGCCAACGCTTTTGTGCAACTGTTATGAACGTTCTGCAATTAAAGAACAGCATTATTCTGAAAACTCCAGCAAACTAGTCGATGTTCGTGGCATATCATCACACGACTTATTGTTAAGGAAAAAAGTCACAAGCCGGTTTGGGAAACTTGCTTTCAATAAAGTGACAAGACAAGGAAGTTCTGACTTCTTTTTTTACAAGGATCCGGAAGAAATCGCACACATGCTCCCAGGACTTCACGAAAAGAGCTTTAGTGCCCATTTCGGTCAACTCTCCATCATCTTTCTTTGGCTGAGCGGCCAGAATTATACAACGGAGCTCATAATCCAATTTATTCTTATATGTTTTTAATTGCTTCAATTGTAATATTCAGTCCGAGAAATGAAACCAACCCAGAAGACAACTAATGGAAGTTTGGAATCAAAATTGAGGGCATGTACATCAAACAGAATTAGATTTGATTTGGACCTTCATTTCCTATTTGGAATAGCTAAACCCTCTTTAATCGTACTGCAAACTTTTAAATTTTGCTGTTGAAAATTCTCTCCAACTGAGCTGCAAACTCAACTGCAAAATGAGTTTTGTAGCCCTATCTCACTTCGTCCGACGCAAATTTGCGTTTCAACGGAAATTGTGCTTTTCTACTTTACAAAATTGCAATTGGGCTCTCTATCATTTTGGCAAATTTGAATCAGGTCCAAATGGTTTTTAATAATATTTCAACACCTATTATATATATTATTTAGTAATTAAATTTTGCTAATAATGATATGTGTTAAATTGGATATTTTTATATTTATTTTTTATGATATATTATCATTATTTTTTTAAAAAAAAATTAGTATTAAAAAGACTACAAATTTGACACATAAAAAACATTAATATTATCAAATTAGTCATTAAATTGAAAGATAGAATTACTGGGAAAAAGTACATCATAAACCACAAAAATAACACAAATACAAAAAAAAAAAATACATCATAAATTACGAAAGTAAACAACATATATTCAGTGATCTGGTAAATTGACACCACTTCCTCTCAAATTATTGAAACACTGACCAAATTTGTCAGTTGAAAATGGATCATATTGGGCTTGTTGAGCACTTTTCTAAAAAATGTGCATTTTCACCTTCAGTATACGCTCGAAATCTACGATCTTTTATGGAACTGGCATCTTGAAACACAATTTTATTCTCTTCTTTCATTTCTTTTGAAGCGTGGACTTCGTTTTGCATCTCCATTTGTTGTTTCATTTGTTCATTTGTCTTTTGTAGCTTCTCAAGAAGTTTATTGTTTGCTTCTTGCATGTTGTTGAT